AGTGGTGACTTTGAATCTGCTTAAACACAGAAATCCATTTCAGGACTCCCAGTTTAAAAAACAGGTTAGCCAACCCTAAGCAACAGATGACGCATTGTTTAAGCAATGTTTAAATTGTTTGAAATTTGCAAAAGGGCAGAACAGTCACACAGTTTAACACAGACAATATAGGACCCTGAAAGGCACGACATGTGAGACCACAGTGGCATAGTCACAGTCTGTGCTTATTTAAATGAGTGAATAAACAAAGTGTTGCAAAAGTAACTAGCAAAATAGCCTTTGACCTTAAAAACACAAGAAGGTCAAATTAAGTGTCCTGACTCTTGATAGAAATCTTTGTGTAGCTGTAAATGATGCACAGTGTGAAACAGATCATTGACTGTGCAGTGTGGCAGCTTACATCAACTCGTTTCCTACGTTCACAGATCAGTAGTAATGAGACTGACCTCTAACAGCACTGAGAACAGTGCTGACCAGCCAGGCGCAGGTGGTTGACCGTCTCCAGACAGCTTCCTGTCAGAGCCCTTATATAAACCAGCTGACTCCTGAGGCATCGCAGTACACCACAACAACAGGAATAGCACATCACTGGCCACTTATGGATCTTCTATTTGTCTCATATTTTGCATATTTGTCACATTTACTTAGATGGTTGTTGCAAGGCTGAAGATTAAAGATCAGGGGACAGAAGTCTTGCATGGCTGAGTGGCTGAAACTCCACACCCTGCACACCATAGCGACTGTAACATTCATTTGAAGCTGTTTTGCCTCCCTCGTTTTCTCTTGTAGTAATTTTGTACGTTTTTTGTCCCGTAGGCATCATTTTAATCTCCAGCTGCGTTCTGTGATCACTGCTTGATTAAACACTAATTAGAAACATTTAAATTTGTGCTAAAATGAAGCCTGCTATGATCACTGCTGCTTGTTTTTTCATAAGAAACTAGAAATTCTCTTATTTTAAGGTAGGAAAAGCTCTACTACAGAACCTGTCAGACCACATATTTCTTTTTTGCTTCCACGGTGTCTTAATCTGAATTCTGTGAGTGCAGATGCTGAAATATTCCAGTGACCTATCCAAAGAAAGTCTATGAGCATAGCAGAAGTACATCTAAAATGCTCATGGTTCAAAAGCATCTCTGACCATTATCTGTGAGGTGTTACGTGTACGCTAGCTGCTATGTCATGTTTCTAAACTGAGGTGACGTTTTTAGTAAAGTCGTGTTTGTTTAAGCGATATATTGAATGTCAATCACAGAACTTAAAATGTAGGTCACGGATATAACAATAAACCCTTTTCCTTCTCTGGTGCTTAACCTACTCACAGTGTTTGTACACTTGACTCCTGTCTTCCTGTCACAGCCTCAGATGCCACAGTGAGTCGTGTCGAGACTCACGGTGTGTAATGTGCAATCTTATGCGTGTGCTCCCTCAGGACGCCAGGTCGAGCTACAGGAGGATCCTGACCGATTCTGCCAGGAAGCTCAATGCCCAGGGCTCGCAGCTCGGTGCGTGCATTGACAAAGCAAGGCCTTATTATGAAGCTCGCAGACTTGCCAAAGAGGTAAGTGTTTCTACTGCTCACAAGTCCACAGAGTGAGGTATATGCAATCAGTTAGCAGTTTATTAGAGCTGAGCACAAAATATGGTAAATGGACTCATTCTTATAAAGCGCTTTTCTACTCTGAGCACTCAAAGCGCTTTATACAACTAATTCATTCACCCAATCACACGAGCACTTTTCTAAACTGTTTACTGCTTACTGTCTAACATTCACACACATTCACACTCCGATGAATGCATCAGAGAGCAGCATGGGGTTAGTATCTCTCCCAAGGATATTTGGCATGCAGACTGGTGGAGCCTGGGATTGAACCGCCAACCTTCCGGTTAGTAGCTTACCTGCTCTACCACCTGAATATTCAAAAGGTGGGTACAGGTTACCCAATCTGGGACTGGGTTGCTGAGGCTTGGAGTTCAAGAGGTGGTTGGGCTGGTTAGGCTTTAGGCCATGGGGGCTCAGTCAAGAAGAGCTACAACGACCTACCCACAGGATGGTGAAGGACACTGCCAGTCCAG